GTCTAATCCCCATCTACCAAAGAGGGCGCTCTACCGCAAACCGAACATAAAGAAATTTGGTCTCAACAGATATACTCAAAAGATGTGAGGAAATAAATCTCACACTCAGCTAGGAAAATTGTGAGTTTGGTGTCACAAAAATCGTGTACCTGGGAAATATCCTCACCCCAGAAATGTACAACCAGATCCAGAAAAGATTCGAGCTATAATTGAGATTCCACCACCAACAGACGAGCAAGGCCAGATATGTTCAAATTGAAAAGGAACTATTAGCCGTAATGTTTGGTTTGGAGAGATTTAACTTAAATAAGTCTAGTACACTTATGGTAAGACAATCCATGTTGAGTCTGATCACAAACAGCAAGACTGTAGAGAATGCTTTTCAGACTGCAGAAATATGACATATCACTCAGATACAAACCAGGAAAAAAACTAGTCACAGCTGATACATTGTCAAGGGCTCCTTTATTATCTCAGTCGCTGGGAAGAAATGAACATCATGGATGAAACAGGTCATATGAGGATAGAGAAGTCAAAGCAATGAGCAAGAGATCAAGGCTGGGATCAACATTACCAACAACACAAATGCACCTAAAACCAAAAGTAATAGAATCATCCACCCTCAAGGAAAAACTGAAATTCAGACAAGATCATCAAAAATGTGTTATGATCGCCATGCTAAGCCCTTACCATTCGCGCTGAACATGGAGGAAGATGGGTGATGGCAAAGGTAACTGGTCATGCCAGAACACCTAGATCATACAACACTGAAACTGCAAAAGGAAAGCGCTATCGTCGTAACAGAAGACATCTAATGAAAACAAATGAACAACATTATTTTGTTGATGATAGTGACACAGAGGATGAAACAGAAGTCATACCAACAAGACCAATAGACCATTTTCCGTTCACTGCGAGAATCACGCGTTATGCGTGAAATCGAACGTAAAAACAGGACAAACAAAAGTCATAGCGTCGTAGTGGCGTCAAACATCGCGTGGGATTCAACAAACGCGAAGTATTTTGGGGGACATTTCCATGCTTAATAATGTGCTGTCCACATTTCATGATAGGAAATTTTGACTAAGTAAGGGTATTCGGAAGCAATATTCCTCTGTCGAAGATCGGCCGGTCGATGTGAGTTACGAAATAAAGAAATTCTAGTTCAAAATCAAATCGTTCGATTTTTGCGGCAGACGTTCGACGCGCGTTTTTCATACATCTCGCGAGATATCGCAATTGTACGGAAAATCCCATATTAATGAAAGACAGCAGTGACAGCAGCAACAGTGCCTAATAATGCCCCTGTACACACATGAAGTCTTCAATATGCAAATTATGTAACCTTGTTGTTTGAAGTTGAATAAATCAGTTGTGTAGCTAGAGACAGTGTCCTTTCAATTATTAAACACAACAAAGGTGTATATGTTATTTCTCACGATGATATGACAGTCTAGTCTATCTATAACTACGGCAATTCGTGATATCACATGCATATATCTCGCTAACCAATGACACCTCAAATCTATTTAGTCTATCGTTAACTCGTGTCGCTATTCGCAATATCATATGCATATATCTTGCCAATCAATGACACCACAATTCTGGTTAGTTTATCATGTAGTTAATTTAACTACGATTTAAGGAAAAAGATTATACAATTGGCACGGCTGGGCCAGTCTAAGTCTCTGCATGCCTTTCGACCAACCGTTTGGTGTACTGCATAGGAGGCAGGAATGTGAGCTATATTACAAAACATTTCAGTTGTTTTATAGTTACTAAAATCCAGCATACAGTGCTATTGGCTGGATAGGTAGGACATATGTTTTTTTTCAAATAGAAATTTACCCACATTTTTTGCTAAAGTGCGAACTTTTCGGAAAAATAAAGATACGCTTATTTTATTGAAACGCTGCTCGAACGTCTATGTCCATTCGTTTTAAGGTACAGGTGCAGGTTCGTGGGCACTTTGGAGTGAA